ATTTCTCGTACGTGCAAGATTTCAACAGGATAAAGCATAAAAATTGATATGCACGTGTAATTAACTAGGTCAAGGTGTCACTTTATTTATGTTGCAGACACGAAGCTTGTGTGTGTAACTATGATATTTTGTGTGCAGATATAGAACACTTATATTTTTAAAGGCTCGTGACAATTTTTAATTTCTCGTACGTGCGTATTACAACAGATTAAAAAAGGAAGCATAAATGCACGTGTAATTAACTAGGTCAGTATGTCAACCATTAATCCTTCAGACGTGAAGCTTGTATGTTGCAAAAGATAGTGCAGATATAGAACACTTATATTTTTAAAGGCTCGTGACAATTTTTAATTTCTCGTACGTGCATATTACAACAGATTAGAAAAGAAGGTATAAATGCACGTGTAATTAATAAGGTCACCATGTCAATCATATTCGTCGACAGACATGAAGACAAGAGATAGTGGAGATATACATGTAGAACACTTATATTTTTAAATTCTCATAACAATTTTTAAGATCTCGTACGTGCATATTACAACAGATTAAAAAAGAAGGTATAAATGCACGCGTAGTTAATTAGGTCACCATGTCAATCATATTCGTCGACAGACATGAAGACAAGAGATAGTGGAGATATACATGTAGAACACTTATATTTTTAAATTCTCATAACAATTTTTAAAATCTCGTACGTGCATATTACAACAGATTAAAAAAGAAGGTGTAAATGCACGTGTAATTAATTAGGTCACCATGTCAATCATATTTATCGACAGACATGAAGACAAGAGATAGTGGAGATATACATGTAGAACACTTATATTTTTAAATTCTCATAACAATTTTTAAAATCTCGTACGTGCATATTACAACAGATTAAAAAAGAAGGTGTAAATGCACGTGTAATTAATTAGGTCACCATGTCAATCATATTCGTCGACAGACATGAAGACAAGAGATAGTGGAGATATACATGTAGAACACTTATATTTTTAAAGGCTCATACCATTTTTAAGTTCTCGTACGTGCACGATTACTTCAGTATAAAATATACATGTACGTGTATTCAATTAGGTCACAATGTCAATAATTTTTCCC